ATATGTAACCAGCATTTCACAACTTTTTTTTTAATCTCTGTTATGTCCAGCATGATCTCACACTCTTCTAATAAGTATTGGTTAGATCTCCAGTATTGCAAAGCTATACATTTGACCGTGAAAGCAATTATTGAAAGAGAAGAAACCATGACCCTTCCAGTGTTGTTGGATTACCAATCCCTTCATTCAAGACCACTAGCCATGATCTTGGGGGCTGATGGGAACTGGAATTCAAAAATATCTGAATGTTCTTCATCCCTGAACATTATATTTTGGAATATGCCGTCTTTCAAGAATATAGCCTAAACTTAATGGACAAATGCATAGACTAAATTATTGAGGAAGCAAAAAAGAGAAATGATATGAAGAGCAGAAAGTGATTTTCAGAGGGGGAGAGAAATTTTCCTGAGTTGGGAGGAAATTCACACTATAGTGCTGAAATTCACTACAGGGGTAATAATAATATTGTATTTCTAGAATTAACTGTGAAATGTACTATGAATACTGTAATAGTAATTGCACAATGGAAGAGTTTGTGAAGAAAAAATATTTCAACCAGAATGTTAGCTAGGAGAGCTTTCAGTATTATGTAAGCACATTTTAAGACCTTCAAAAGTGATTCATTGTCATAATGCCTATGCCAGTGAGAATCTGTGTGAAGGTAACTTGGGATGCCCGACATGCAAATTGCTTCACCAGTACAGACCTTTTAATGGGCTTGCAAAGGCTGTTTGGAAAGCAGGTAGTTGAGTAACTAAGCCCCAGGAGACTGTATAAATCTGGTCTTCAGTAACTAGCCCCAAGGCAGATAGGAAGTCTCTGCCAAAATCTGAACCAGTCTCCAGGTTTCTTATCTAGCGTCTTAGATAAAATATAGTACTTCATTCTTGCAGTAGTCTTTTCCGTAGTGAAGGCAACAAGCAATAATGTTTAATGGCATTCACATACAAAAATAATACCTACTACTTTGCATTTACCAAATGTTGTTAAAACATCACCTAATTAAACACTGAAAGCAAGATGAGACATTTGATAACAGTAAAAACTGTTTCCTGGAAGCATATGATAATGTACATTTCTCATATATAGTATATAGCATGAGATAAAAATTGCATAAAATATATCATAAAAATATGTTAAGTGTAAAAGCATAAAAATAACATAAAAGACATAAAGTTTCTGTTTCCTTTTCTTTTAACATATAAAGTGCTATGTTGCTTCACACTCTCACTTTCCTGTAAAACCATATTGAGTACAATACCTAGGATGAATGACTGAGAAATGGCATTTTTAAAAGAATGCCATAACTTGGATGTATATCAGGACATATCATCTGTCTGTGGTGCCTGAGTTCTCAGTATGAATGTCGTATGTGCCAACCAAAGAATAATTCCTCTGGAACTGATTTAAATGCTGTTGATGTTACTGTAGTTCATGATAATTGACTATAGTTGCCTTTGGATAAGACCATCAAATAACATTTTAATGTTGTAATTATGCAAATAACATTTGTTTGGGTGCCCTAGATGGTTATGAAATATCTCCTTCCCTGCCACTGTTATCATCGTAAGAAAATTAAGAGGCCTACGCATATGCTGAACTCTACACTCAGTTTCTAAAAAAACTACAATATGCAGATCCAAAGAAATCCTTAGTATTTCATTTTTATGGACAATTGGTGACTGACCCACCCACTCCTGAGGAAGTTAAGTCTAAAAATGTGTATCAAGTTGTCATATCCACTTGATAGTTTAAGAACTGATAGTTCCATTACAGAGATTACAGACTTCGCCTGGAGCCTGTATCAATTCTGTGCATTTTGTGTACAGCACTAAAATCTCGAAAGTCGTGGCCTAAGACAAAAACAAAAACAAAAAGATGAAGGCTTCATGTTTCACCCTGGATTTCAGATGCTCTAAAACTCAAGGTAGTTCCTCTTTCAATAAAAAGCAGTGTGCTATTATTATCATTTTTTAAAAAATGTAATGAAGATACTCCTGCACTTCTGGCTGAACAGAATATATAGTCACCCTCTGCATAAAGTATTTTCTGTAATGTTTCCATGACATTATATTCCAGTCTTCTTGGACAACAGATTGAAAGATGTGAGGTGGATTTGAGAAGACCACGGGCTGCTTTTGAATACCGTTCATGCCTTGTAGCATAGTCTTGTACCAACTGGAATGGGGCTGTAAATGGCATGTAGGAGATGCCACCTGAACTCTCATTGCACTAAAAAATCATTATGCTGCTGTATAAATTAATACATTCTGGTGAATCTGGGCTCCACTGCAGTTAAGTTTTTTGCTTAACCTGATCAGGACAACTGAGGTTTACAACAATGCTTGCATTTATTAAACATATTCTCTCTGTGGCTATGAGTCCTGTAGTGAGTGACTTTCTTTTGAAAGTTTCTATAATCAATATACAGTCGACCCTCCCCATTTGCCGACTTGAGGTCCACGGTCCTGCTCTTCATGGAGAGGAACAACAACTATACCTTAAATGGCTGCATGCACACAGCATTTGTTTAAATGGGGCTCAAATATTACCAAGCTACCATTTTTTTGGGGGGGGGGTGTCCAGAAAGTATCCCTTGCGAATTGGGAGGGGCAACTGTATTTGCATTTGTCTTTAAAATCTGTGCTTCTTTTCACTTTCCTGTTGGACAGTGCTCAATTAGATAAAATGGGTTCTCTTTTTGTTCAGTTTCAGCAGGATACTTGAACAAGTGAATTTGTTTAATAATAAAAGCCCTTTTAAAGGAAATCTATAAAGATTTACAGCACAATCCTTTTTGTATTTACTCAGAGTAAGCTTGCTCCCAGGAAAGTATGCAGTGAACTTCAGCCACTAACTTGATAGACCAGAAATTCAAGGGAATTAGCATTTTTCACTATTGTAAACAAGCAAAACTAAGTGCTTGCTTTTCAGTTGCAATGTTCTTCTGACCAGCTGACAATATTTTGTGAAATATTGGTTATTTTCCTTCCATGTGAGGACAAATTCTGTCATTACTGTCTATGCATCTAGGAATCTACTCTTCCTGTTCACTCTACATTTAATATGTGATGTGGTTGACAGAGAGAAAAGAAACAACACAAGTTAAATGCAACAGTACAATGCAGTATTCTTCAGCCTCCTTCATCAAAGGAATGTTTATGTGCCTGATTTTTAAGTTGCATGTAATCCTTGCTGATGCCTGTCTGGGAGTTACCTTCACATAAATTGTTAGATTTTTGAATCAATAAGTTTATGTTTACATTTATTTTTAAAAAAATAACAGGAGCAAACAGTCTTTCTAATCCTTACCTTTCATTCTTTTTCTTGTCCATAATGGCAGTCATAGCATAAACGGCTACATTGCAGCCCTTTCTTCTTTGGCAAAGTGTGGTCTTCCTTTCTGAACTATCTGGTCTTTTCCCCAAAGACCACTTCTTTAACCATTGCCTCCTCTCTTCTCTTTCCTTTAATATTAAAATCTGTAGTTGCTATTTTTGCCAGATGTGTTTATTATATCATCCAGCCCTGATTACTGGTGGGAGACCAAAGAAAATATGTATGTTCACAATAACAGGAAACCCACTGGCTTCAAGTTTTACTTACTTTAAGTCCCCATGCCTTATGTTGTAGAAAAAAAACTATATTTTACATAGGTCATTTTGCAGACTACATTTTTGTTGTGTTTGTACAAAATTTCAGTTAACTTTTGAAATGAAATGCAGCAAAATCCTAAGCGTGTTCACTCAGAAACAGATCCCAGTCAGTTGACATGTATGGTGGGGAGAACAATAGCATGGTATTAAATGTTTCTGGTGCATCATTTGGATATATTTTTCTATATTCTGTCTTCAAGACCAAACAGTGTCTGCTTTCATCACTGAGGATGTTTGTGTAAACTTCTAAAACAGCTCAATTTTCACTTCTTTGGTAGCAAGTCACAGAATCTACATAGGTGGTTACATACAACTTAGCTTCTATTCCTCTTCAGAATTACAGAATAATGCATATGATGTATCAGTTATTGTACTGTCTCTTTTATTTTCTCTTTGGATATTTGGAAATTTACACAGGTAATGTGCAGAATATGTTATTAGCTCATATGTCTCTTTTTGTAAATTCATGATCACTGGCTCTCTATCCCTAGCTGCCACTCTACAGTGCATATTCAGTGACTTCACACTTCTTTTCCTATTAATCCATTGGTATAGATCTGTGGTTTCTTTTTAATGGCTGGTTCATTAGCTGGTATAACATATGTGGAATTTTAAGCTGTGGTTGTGAAAAGCTGTGAAAGTAGAGGTTAAGGTTTATTACAGCCATCAGGTGTGGGAAATTTAGGTCAATATACAGTTTGTGTGCTGAACCTTCACTGATGTAGAGTATGTCAGCAGCAAAAGGAAAAAGAAGGAAATGGTAGGGCCAC